CCTGTGCTACTTCTGCATCTGGAAGGGCGTGCGCTGGACCGGCAAGGTCGTCTACTTCACCGCCCTCTTCCCCTACTTCTTGCTCACCGTCCTGCTTATCAGAGGTAAGATATGGAGAACAAATATTAGCTAATAGTCCCTATTCCACCTCGTGTGGATCCTGTGCTACTTCTGCATCTGGAAGGGCGTGCGCTGGACCGGCAAGGTCGTCTACTTCACCGCCCTCTTCCCCTACTTCTTGCTCACCGTCCTGCTTATCAGAGGTAAGATATGGAGAACAAATATTAGCTAATAGTCCCTATTCCACCTCGTGTGGATCCTGTGCTACTTCTGCATCTGGAAGGGCGTGCGCTGGACCGGCAAGGTCGTCTACTTCACCGCCCTCTTCCCCTACTTCTTGCTCACCGTCCTGCTTATCAGAGGTAAGATATGGAGAACAAATATTAGCTAATAGTCCCTATTCCACCTCGTGTGGATCCTGTGCTACTTCTGCATCTGGAAGGGCGTGCGCTGGACCGGCAAGGTCGTCTACTTCACCGCCCTCTTCCTCTACTTCTTGCTCACCGTGCTGCTTATCAGTGGTAAGTTATACAGGGTTACATTTAGTTAAATACAAATCTCTTGAGGGTGTGGTCTACTTACGAAATTGAACGACTTTTGCTAGAAACTTTTCTTCGAAGTATAAAAAACAATTTGGACCTCCGATACAAAAATGTTGAAAAGTGTGTCACTTAGTAAGGGAGATCCAATTGTTTTTTTCATGTTTCAAAGAAAAGTTTTCAAACAAAAGTTGATCAGTTTCGTGAGTAAAACACACCCTTAAGAGATTTGTACTTACTTAAATGTAACTATTTATATGTATAGAGTGTTCCGTTAATAATGGATCAATGTCGTGTGAGAGATATTTGGCATGTATATGAACAACGCTGCTGCTCGTGTGGATCCTGTGCTACTTCTGCATCTGGAAGGGCGTGCGCTGGACCGGCAAGGTCGTCTACTTCACCGCCCTCTTCCCGTACTTCTTGCTCACCGTGCTGCTTATCAGAGGTAAGATAAATAGAAGAAATATTTGCTAATAGTCCCTATTCCACCTCGTGTGGATCCTGTGCTACTTCTGCATCTGGAAGGGCGTGCGCTGGACCGGCAAGGTCGTCTACTTCACCGCCCTCTTCCCCTACTTCTTGCTCACCGTGCTGCTTATCAGAGGTAAGATATATAGAAAAAAAACCGCCAATAGTCCTGATTCCACGTTACCGTCTAATTACTCGAACACAAAAAGGAACGAATGTAAGCAAAATCAACCTTACATTGGCGAAATCACAATGAAAAGCCACAAACAATAGTTTGAATAGCTAAAAGTAAGACTATCGAAACTAGAACCTGGGTTCACGGGGAACCGTCCCTTTAGGGACATATATATAAGTAATCTGTGGAACCGTCCCACTGCTAACTGAGCAACTGGATTCTCACCCAATCATATCGTATCAAAGTTACGATTTAGCGACATCCAGTAGCGCTTAAGTCGTCGCTTCGAAACGAGCATCAAGAGCTTGAAAGATTCGTGATCTCGAGCGGTATCGAAGAGATCGGCAACATCCGCTGGGAGCTCGCCGGGACGCTGCTGCTCGTGTGGATCCTGTGCTACTTCTGCATCTGGAAGGGCGTGCGCTGGACCGGCAAGGTCGTCTACTTCACCGCCCTCTTCCCCTACTTCTTGCTCACCGTGCTGCTTATCAGAGGTAAGATACAGAGAAAAAAATATTCGCATGCATCCCCCATTCCATGCTGAAACCGAATGTGCTCAAAGTCAACTTGACACTGGCGAAATCACAATGAAAAAGCCACGAAACAATAAGTTGAATAGATAAAAATAGCATGTTGGAACTTGAACCCGGGACCATGGGGCGCCGGGACGCTGCTGCTCGTGTGGATCCTGTGCTACTTCTGCATCTGGAAGGGCGTGCGCTGGACCGGAAAGGTCGTCTACTTCACCGCCCTCTTCCCGTACTTCTTGCTCACCGTTCTGCTTATCAGAGGTACGATTTAGAGAAAAAATATTCGCCAATAGTTCCGATTTCAGGTTACCGTCTAATGTATCAAACACAAAAAAACTAATTTACGCAAAATCAGCTTGACACTGGCGAAATCACAAAACATGTTGAATTGATAAAAATAGCACTTCGGTACTTGAACCCTGGACCATGGGGTACCGTCCCACTGCCAAGTTGCTAACTGAGCAACTGCATTCTCACCCAATACTCTCGTATCGAAGTGACTATTCTGAAGTTTTTGTATTCGAGATCCTAACGAATTTTTCTCGTCCAAGCCGGTAACTCAGTTGGCAGAGTTTTGGGACGGTAGGTACCCCACGGTCCAAATTCCAGCAAATGTCAAGGACTTATTTTAATTCACGGCACAATTTGTTTCCAGGAATCACCTTGCCAGGCGCGATGGAAGGCATTAAGTTCTACATAATGCCGAACATGTCGAAGCTCCTGGAGTCGGAGGTGTGGATCGACGCGGTCACGCAGATCTTCTTCTCGTACGGGCTAGGACTGGGCACCCTGGTCGCTCTCGGCAGCTACAACAAGTTCACCAACAACGTTTACAAGTGAGTCAGCCTGTAGCGGGCCACTATTGGACGTAGGCTTCCCAAGGCTTGCAGAGACGTTATCAACTATATCAGTTGAATCATCAACACCATGTTTGCCGAGCTCGTGATACCGTTGTTGAGGTCGCTGCTTCAAGTGAATACATTACATCATCAATGATATCAGTTATATTCTTTAGCTATATCAGTTGAATCATCAACTATATCACTTACATCATCAACACCATGACCGTGGGTTCGTGATCTTCTCAGTGGTCGGCTTCATGGCCCACGAGCACCAGGCGTACCTCATTTGACTAGTATGCCAGTAGCTGCTTCATTCCCATCAAGTTCTACATAATGCCGAACATGTCGAAGCTCCTGGAGTCGGAGGTGTGGATCGACGCGGTCACGCAGATCTTCTTCTCGTACGGGCTGGGGCTGGGCACCCTGGTCGCTCTCGGCAGCTACAACAAGTTCACCAACAACGTTTACAAGTGAGTCAGCCTGTAGCGGTCCACTGTTGGACGTAGGCTTCCCAAGGCTTGCTGAGGCGTTATCAACTATATCAGTAGAATCATCAACACCATGTTTGCCGAGTTCGTGATACCGTTTTTGAAGTCGCTGCTTCAAGAAAATACCTCAGGTACATCATCAATGATATCAGTTTTGGCATCAATTATATCAGTTATGGTCATCAACTATATCAGTTATGTCATCAACTATATCAGTTATGTCTTTAGCTATATTAGTTCAATCATCAACTATATAAGTTACATCATCAACACCATGTTTGCTGGACTCGTGATCTTCTCAGTGGCCGTATTCATGGCCCACGAACGCCAGGCGTACCTCATTTGACTAGTATGCCAGTAGCTTTGCTTCATTCCCATCAAGTTGTACATAATGCCGCACATGTCGAAGCTCCTGGAGTCGGAGGTGTGGATCGACGCGGTCACGCAGATCTTCTTCTCGTACGGGCTGGGGCTGGGCACCCTGGTCGCCCTCGGCAGCTACAACAAGTTCACCAACAACGTTTACAAGTGAGTCAGCCTGTAGGAGCGGTCCACTGTTGCTTAGGCTTTGCTTCAACTTTCATCATAAATTGAAAGTGGAATTCCGGCGGATCTGGGCACTACATATGCAAGCATGTTCGAACATCGTCTGCCTACATCATCGCTTACCAACGTGTGAAATAGACAAATGCAGGCCTATCTAATATAGAAAAGAATATAAAAAAGGGGCTTGCCCACAAGGCGCGATCTTCTGTTTTCGCCATCCAGTCTATCCAGTAATCGGTCCATCTGACCGAAGGGCATCTAACACTACGCTTGCTGCGGCGTAATCTTGAAATGTAGATCTCAAACTTTAACTTAAATAGACACAAAAGCCCACTGCTCAAAGGCCTGAACATAGGCCTCTCCGAATTTCATGGTATTTTCCATAAACTTCGCTCATGGCAGTCGGATTGGCGAATACACCTTCTTTCTACTGTACGGGTTATTTAACCGAAAAATTTATCCTTGAGATTTCGCTAGGTATTTCTTTCTTTACCCGATGAGATTTCCAAAATATTATTGCTTTTTAAGTCTGTTTTGCCTAGTTCAGGCACAGTATGTTCATTCAGCTGTATGAGTGTTTTATTTGGTACGTATGTAAATTATTAAAAAATGAGAAAATTGTGAAATAAGTCTTTAATAAATAAACTCATTTATTTATTTACAGTTAACGCAGTCGATATTGTTTTGAAGAATAATGTGTGTTGTGTTCCAGGGACGCGTTGATAGTGTGCACGGTGAACTCTAGCACGTCCATGTTTGCTGGTTTCGTGATCTTCTCTGTGGTCGGCTTTATGGCTCACGAACAGCAGAGGCCCGTGGCTGAAGTTGCTGCTTCAGGTAAATATATCAGTTACATTATAAACTATATCAGTTATGTCATCAACTATATCAGTTGTCTCATCAACTATATCAGTTTTGTCCTCAACAATATCAGTTGAATTATCAACTATATCAGTTACATCATCAACACCATGTTTGCTGGTTTCGTGATCTTATCAGTGGACTGCTTCATATCACACGAGCAGAAGAGCCCGGTGGCTAAAGTAGCTGCTTCAGGTAACTATATCAGTTACATCATCAACGATATCACTTATATCATAAACTATATCAGTCATGTCATCAACTATATCAGTTGTATTATCAACTATATAAATTGAATCATCAACTATATATCAGTTACATCATCAACACCATGTTTGGTGGGTTCGTGATCTTATCAGTGGTTGGCTTCCTGGCCCACGAGCAACAGCCGCCCATGGCCAAGGTCGCTGTTTCTGGTAACTATATCAGTTATATCATCAACTATATCAGTTATTTATAAATAAAAATAAGAAATTGAAAAAATTACATGCATCGAACGGGGCTCAAACCCGGGCCGCATGGGTCAACGCCACACCGCTTTGCCACGGAGCAATCGATGCACCAGGCTCGTACCTCATTTGACTAGCATGCCAGAAGCAAAGCTACATTCCCAGACTATATCCGTCATTTTTGTGTTTACATTTCCAGGTCCTGGTCTGGCGTTCCTCGCGTATCCATCAGCCGTGCTGCAGCTGCCGGGCGCTCCGCTGTGGTCATGCCTCTTCTTCTTCATGCTGTTGCTTATAGGTAAACGACGATCATCATCTCATCATCTTCCTGCCCTTATCCCATTTACTTCGGGGTCACGTTTCGTTGAACACAAAATCGTGTTGCAAAAGGATTTGGCTGAATTTTACGACCGGCTGCCTACCAGACGTCAACCCTCCTTGGGAATGCTTTTGTGGTGGATTAACCGCCACCTTACGGTTGGCCCTGGCTGTTTGGGTTGAGTTTATCCCTCAGTCGCCTCTTACGACCCCCACGGGAAGAGAGGGAGTGGTGCTATTCTACTCTGCCGGCACCACACGGCTCGGTCTTATATACAAAATCCCCGCGACATAGTATCTCATACAAAGTTAGGACAATGTTCCCGAAACAGAACCCAATGAAGACGCACCCTCGTTGGTAACTTTGTCCCGCAATATTGTATAAATGCGTCTTCATTGAAAGCATTTATTGGGGAACTTTTGTTTAAATGCAATGTCGCGGAACCCTGTCCCCATAATGGTCCAATTGAATACCCGTCTTTATTCATTCAAATAGATATATATCACGCCCAGATATCCCTTGTCGGGTAGTCCGAGCGTATACGGCTGTAAAAACGGACATTTAGGTACACCACATCTTTGAGAGTAATTCAGAACACTGTTATCACTCTCAAATAGGGTGTTTGACTGGGGTACTAAAAAATACAAAAAAAAATACGCGTATAACTACAGTTCAAAAATACTATCATTTTCATTCGAACACTCAATTTGAAAAATATTATATCAGTGAGTTTTGATACCATGAAAATTCCTGGCATATGACGTCATATGCCAGCTCAAAACTCAACTGTACTGTCTGTCAACTACCCTATTGCCATACACAACAACTCTTAAATCCCACAATCGATTCTTACGACAACCACAGGGTAGATATGGGGTGATACTATTCTTAGCCGGCACCACTCGGCACCAAGCTGCTAATGGTAATGAAATGAGGTAGACATCGTTATCTTTGGAGCACTAACAAAAAAATCGTAGAGGTGGCGTACTTTATCGACACCTTAGATATCGACAGATTATATTCAAGTAAGTACCTAGTTGCTGTGAAACCAAAGGGTTTATAAAAAAAACGTCTGTTTAAAATTGCAACAGATTTATAATTATAACCAAGAAACATAACATTTAACTTAATAAGTGTCTAAGTCATTTTATTGGCAAGTTACAATGTTTTTCCCTATTCCGACTTTTGTTCCCTAGGAAAAGTCCGTTAAAAAATTTGAATATTTTTTTACACCATGTCAAGGCCATATTTATGTGTTAGTAGCATTTTATTAGGTCTGTGGTTAGTAGCATGAAAACATCGATAACTTGTGTTTCGAAAAAAGTCCGCAACTCATCTCTATGACATGACAACGTCACTCGTGCTCCAAAGATAACGATGTCTAATACTAATCTAATGAATGACAAATTGTTATCCAGGTCTGGACAGTCAGTTCTGCACGATGGAAGGCTTCATCACGGCGGTGATCGACGAATGGCCGAAGCTGCTGCGACGTCGCAAGGAAATCTTCATCGCGATCACCTGCTTCATATCGTACCTGGTCGGCTTGTCTTGTATATCTGAGGTAAGTTCACATCACATCAACTTGCCACAAAATATGGAGTTTACAGAAGGTTCACTCGGCCCTATTTCGGATTTTCGCGATTGGCACTGTCAAAAATCTCAATGTATAAAAACGTCAAAACAGCAAAATTAGACAAAGAACGTCGTATGATTCTGAGCCAATGTTAAATCTAATAAATACATTCGAGTCAACCACCTTCTTATTTACCTTGATTTCCCTGAGATTCCAGTTTTTTCCAGTTTTCGTCAGTAAGCGTCAAAATAGTCGCAACTACTGAGCCATCTGGTAAAGGCGCCCGCATACCGTTTTCCTAATTTGTGCTATTGCAGTCCACTGCTGGACGTAGGCTACCCCCAGGTTACACCATAAAGCACGATCTCCCAATTTTGCCATCTAATCGCTACCAGCATCGGCCCCTCTGGCCGAGTTTTCGTTAATCAGATTGGTAATTTTTGTTTGGATACTACTTGTACAAATAAGAAACAAAATCGTCAATTATTCAGGCCAAGAAACCCATTATCAATGGATAGAAAAGCGTAGTGCCGCAAAAATATGTATAATCTATTCATTTCAACACGTAGGTATCCAAGAAGTTTAACTTTTTGGTGATAAGGCCCTACCATATTGTTATGATGACTGACTTTGAAAATAATTGGGTTTGTATGAAAATTTTACGATATTTTGTATGAAAGTAATGGCATTTGACGTCAATAGCCAGTACTTATCATCATATTTATTTGTTAAAATTCTAGCTTTAAATGTTTTGAAAATTGATGAATGAATATAATAGTATTTAGAATAGCTGTTTTGTATTTTTTTAGTTACCCAATCAAGTACCCTATTGCGTTATTGTCACCGTCTGTTACTTTCCGAAGATTGTATCTTTTGCCTTCTAAATATTAATTAGAAAGCAAATTCAAAAATACGCGCATTGATAACTAATATAAGTCAACATATCAATTAATATGGCCTCGCCAAGGCGGGAAGGGAAAGGTCATTAATTTCCACGAACATACCGTTAGCGCGTTTTAAAATCCTAGTGGCGCCATCTAGTGACAGTACTCACTATAAAATTAAGTCAGCCTAAAACTTTTAATTTTGAACTACTCGACCGTATTTAAGAGTTTCGTAGTCTAAATTATTTTTGTAATATTACACATGTTGACGAATAAAGAATTGCTACATCGGTTTCTGTTTGGAAGATGTTTGCATTAGTGAGGAATCGTCTAACTATAGAACAAGTATCAGATTTTTGCGTGTTTACGTATGTTGATTTTGGGTGTTTTGATTCACATATAGCCTTGTTATATACGAGCTATGCGGAAGTCCCTAATCTCGCAGACGCTGTCGACTTAAATCTTTTGGACGTGATCATTCTACCTACGTGCAAACGTGTTCATGGATGGTATTTTAATAAATTATTATAGTTTAACTTCATCCTTAATTTTCTTCAAGGTCCTTCCCGCTGCGGTTCCATCATTGCCTTTTGAAGTGGTTGTGATTATTATTATTTTGTTTTAATGATATTTCCATCTCAGTTTCGAAAAACGAACCGGGGCCTAAGCTAAGTAAGCGTCCTCTTGATTATTGCGGGGTCAATACGTCAGTTTGGAGAAATTTACGCACTATGCGGCATGTATTAAGGATAACAGCCTTCTGTAATCCAATGTAGGTCGGGCTTGGAAGTTCAAAGAGTTTTAAAATATTGATGCAGTTGCTGCGGTATTACTCCTGTGGTGGACATTACTATGGGAACTATGACCACACCCTGTAGACGCCATTTGTGCGTTACGTCATCTTTTAAATCTACGTATTTAGATATCTTTTCTGCTATGTTGTCTGCGTTGTTTGGAGGATAGCCTAGCCACAAATTAAGGAAATGGCACGCGGGCGCCTATACAGATGGCTCACTCAGAACTAGCGATGATTTTGACACTTACTGACTTTAACTGGAAATAAGCGGAATCTCAGAGGAAGTCAAAGTAACTAAGAAGTTGGTTGCCACATTTCTTGGATTAAAATTGGCTCAATCATATGACGTTTTCGTATCAGATTTTACTGTTTTGATATACTTATACTTTGAAATTGTTGACAATTGCTATGTTACAAATGACAATAGCAAAAATCCCGAGTATTGTCGAGTGAACCTTCTGTAAACTCTCTATTTTGTGACCTAGCAGTCCCATGAGGGTTTTCGGGACTTATGATATATATTACTTTTTACCCACGACGGAACGGAGACGGTATATGCGTTTGGGGTGAGAGAATGTGTGTTTGTGCAAACCTATGTCACCAAATATCTCCCAAACCACTGGTCCGATTTTGATGAGGTTTTCAGTGATGGATTTATATTTTTTTAGGGCAAGTTCTTAGATAGGTTTTACGCCAACAACTTACCAGAGGGCGCTGCAGTAAACTGTCGTGGGTATTTTCAAAATTTAAATTTTGTTTTCACTTGTCTTTAGGGCGGAATGTACGTGTTCCAACTGCTGGACAGCTACGCGGTGTCCGGTTTCTGCCTGCTGTTCCTGATCTTCTTCGAGTGCGTCTCCATCTCGTGGGCGTTCGGCGTCAACCGCTTCTACGACGGCATCAAGGAGATGATCGGCTACTACCCGACCATCTGGTGGAAGTTCTGCTGGGTCGGATTCACGCCCGCCATTTGCATTGTGAGTAGAGAATTTGTATCTATAGAATATAAATGAAAATGTATAGAAAAAATATATTGACTTTTCGCGGCGACCAGTGCTTGAACCAACTACTAGATGAACAACTACTACTAGATGCCGCTTAAATCAAGAGCATCAAGAGGTTAACATTTCATACGGGTCGGCTAGCCGCCGATAGCTCAGTTGGCAGAGCAATGAGATGGGACGGTACGGTACCCCCACGGTCTCGGGTTCAAGCCACGGTCGACGCCAACACTCTTAAAAGATTTTATTCTCATTTATGATAATGAAAATAATTTAGCACTGCAAGTACATTAAAATCCCAATATATCTACACTAATATTATAAAGGAGTAAGATTTGGTGTTTTGCATGTCGATATCGATAAACTTCTAACTTATTGAACCGATTTCAAAAATTCTTTCACCATTAGTAAGCTATAACATTCCTAAGTAACATAGGCTACTTTTGACCACAGGAAAATATCTTATTCCCACGGGAAAACGGTTAGCAGCGGGAAACCGGGAATTATAGTAGATATTACCAAAATAAACGAACTT